TTATATATATTATCATTATCTGTATCATCACGCTCTTCTGCTAATTCCCTTAGAACTACATAAAAATTAAATTATTTTTATAAGATGTTACTTTATATATAATCTACTACAATACAAGGAAAAAGAATGTTCTTCAATTACATCTAAGAAGTATGATAATATTGTAAATCTATACCTCTTTTTGGTTGGTAAACAATGCAACTTCTTCGTCTGGACGGAGGAGTTTCTACATGCTCATTTTGTGCATGTTAGTTTCCTAGATTTCTCACAGGACTGTGATTATGCGGTAAAGGTAATTGTGCATGTTGGTTTCTTGGATTTCTCAGAGGACTGTGATTATGCGGTAAAGGTGATTGTGTATGTCGGTAAACAATACAACTTTTTCTTCGTCTGGATGAAGGAGTTTCTACATATTCATTTATTACTGAATAATAAAAATATAAATAAAAATTAAATTACGTTAATTAAAAAAAAATAAAAAATTGCTTTATTCTACAAAACTACATTACCTGATCTTTCATCATCATCATTATTGACGGTGTTATGCGGTAAAGATGATTGTGCATGTTCGTTTCCTGGACTTCTCACAGGACTGTGATTAATATTAATAGTAGAAGACCGTGCATTTCTAATATTTTCATAATTTTCAACTACAACATTACACAATAATATACGTTAAGTTTTGAAATAGTTTTTTTACACATATTAAATTTGTATTGTATAATAAAAAAAAGATAAATTACTGAAGTCTTTACAAAAATATTTAATTTCTTATGTAACATTACGTGGTATCTGCTCATCGTGAGGATCAATACGATTATTGTTTCGTTGAAGTTCTGGTGTTAAGGATTTTAAAGCTCTTGAAGCTCTTCTGGGGCTATCGTCAATGATACTACGAGATGTAATTTTAGTACTTTCAAAGTCTTCAAGAAGAAAATTATGCAGTAAATAATATTAAAATTTATCGTTTTATCTATTTACATGCTTGAATAAGTAATAATATAATATTTATTTAACTTTTCCCTCTTTACCTTGTTTGTTTGAATCATCATTTTCATTTTCTGTAAAAACGTTATCACTTTCATCGCTATGAATCAATCGTCGTCTTTCGTTTGATTCATCATTTTCATTTTCTGTAAAAACATTATCACTTTCATCGCTATGAATCAATCGTCGTTTTCCTTTCAATTTATTCAACTGTTTTTTTCCACTCTTTAGTTTTGCTAGTTTCTTCAATTTGGTTCAAATTTTCTGTAATTAATATTATCATTATTATTATTATTGTTATTGTTGTTTATATTATTGTCACTGTTATTATTACTTGTAATAGCAAAGTCAATAATCAAACATTACAATAAGTACGAAAAAACAAATATTCGTTACTTTACCTTATTTTTTTCGTGAATATTACGATCTTTTGATTTTAAACGTAATTTTTCCAATGCATCACTGCGTCGTATTTTTTTAAATTTGTGGCGTTCGCTTCTGTTTAATAAATTTTCTCTATTATCTGCAACAAGTTATTTATAATAAATTAGACTTTACAATAAAGAAAGAACCTTTTTTCAAAACTGAATGAACATTACTGTTTGCAAACATTGATTCTTAAATAATTTTTTTTTGCTTCTTCTCTATTTTTTTTATATTCAACAATGCACTTTATGGTTTAATAAGTTTAATTGGAACAATCAAGCATTACAAGAAATTTTTTAGTTATTTTTTAATAAAGCTTTAGTATGCTATATACTGTAATATGTATTCAAATTAATATAAATTATTAATTTAATTAATTAATTTTTACATTAAAAATGCTGTAAAATTTTTTACAGTCCTTAAAATATTGATAACAATTTTGTAGGAAAATCATGACTTAAATTCAAAATATTAATTTTCTACATTTTAAATAAAAAAAACTTGCACATTGCTTCCTCATAGTTTTTAAGTGTGCAAGTAGAAACCTTCGCTCACAAAGCTCCTCTATAAGGAAGTTTGTATTTTATTCGATGTATAATTATTAGTATTTATTTGTTTTGGCTTCCTCATAGAGGAAGCTTTGTGAGCAAAGGTTTCTACTTGCACATTTCAAAGCCATAAGAAAACAATGTGCAGGTTTCTACTTGCACACTTAAAAACTATGAGGAAGCAATGTGCAAGTTTCTACTTGCACACTTAAAAACTATGAGGAAGTAATGTGCAAGTTTCTACTTGCACACTTTTTTTATAGATAGAGTATCATTAAAGATTGATTTGAATTGAACAAAAAAGATGGTGCTGAATTTGGCAATGGTGAATGGGTTTTGTAAATTTTAATTATGGTTTCATAAAAAATCAATACTTTTCTGAAAATTTAATTGCTTCAAACTTTTAATTAAATTATAATTTTTTAAAATAATGCTGTTTGTATGTTTTTATGTTTTTAAACAATATTTAAACAATATTTAAACAATATTTAAACAATATTAAAATTATACAATTAGTTTTACGGAATGGGTACTAAGATTGCCTACTCCAACCCTCCTCCTTTCTCAGGCCGGGCTTGGGACCGTCCAAGGCGGAGTTAAAAAAAAAATAAAAAAATATAAACCAAAAATTATAAATAAAAAATTTAAATATAAGTTTAAAACCATAATTTGAAAGTATCGCAGTTTTAGCTGATTTCCTAAATTTTTGAAAAAAAGAATTTAATGAAATAATTAAAATTTTAATACTTTCTGCATAAATTTTTAAAAAATATTTTTTAAAACTTAATCCAATACTTTAATAATAATATTTTAAATATGTTGCAATAGGATTGCCTGTATATGTTTTCTTTATTAAAAATATTGAACTATACTGTACTTTCCTTTCTTCTGCGACGGTCACAATGCCTGCTCGAAAAATTCACATGGTCACCCATCCATAGTAATCCATAGTAATCATCCTTAGATTTACTTCACCTCGTTCAAACTGTGCTTTTGTTATTTGATTTTCTAGGCGAACTGGTCAATGTAAAATCTCCAAATTGTTTAATATTTCAATGCTTATCTTTCAATTTTTCTTTTTATAGTGATTTATTTATTTTTATACTTATTTGCGTTTTTGTTATTTGATTTTTTATGCGAACTAAATGTAGGTTCTCTAAATTGTTCAATATTTTAATGTTTATCTTACTATATTTTTTTTTATACTTATTTACCTATTTTATACTTATTTAATTTTTACTTATTTATATATTTTTATCCTTATTAATTTAGGCAACGTTTTTATAATTTTACGCAATGTTTAGTATGTATCACATCGTTATAATTTTTAATTATTATTCTTCTGGAAAAGGCAGTAATTCTTTTTCTTCAATAATTCTCAGACAATGTCTACGCATCTCTTGCATATTATTGAATATTTTTTAGTAGATGGATTTTCTCCTCTTGCTATTGTTATAGCAAATGCTGAAGCAAATATACCACACGATGCTAAGTCTGGTTGCTTTGTAACTTTTTCGAATATGACATTGTTTGGACTTAAATTAGGGTATCGCTTTTTTATGTATTTTTGTTCATATAATGACAGATTATTATAAGAGTGTGTTGCAAAGTACAAACTATCATATATATGAAGTTTGTCTCCATCATAATAAATACAGTGCCAATGGTTGCCAGCTTGACTACCTCCAACAATCTGAACATCCGGTATAAAGATCAAATCAACCCAATGTAAATCAGTAATAAAGAGTACATCTACACGCTTA